ACCCTTCTTCTGAAGAAGGGTCTAGGCCCGAAACGTCAGCCTTCCTGCTCCTCTGATGCTGCTTGGCCTGCTGTGTTCATCCAGCTCTATACCTTGTTACCTTACAAACAGATTAGCTTCAGTTGTTGGGAAAACGTTGGAGTCTATTCTCAAGGAGGGGTCAAGAAGGTGATTACTGAATTATAATATCAATAGGCAGAGTCCGTATGCTTTTATGAAAGGAAAATAGTGTTTACTTTTGAGCGAGTATGTGGGTGTACTGGATGAGAGTGTCTGAATCTTCAAGTTGGGGCAAACCTGATTTAGATTGTAATTTAAGACCATAAGACATACAGCAGAATTAGGCTATTCAGTCCATTGAATCTGCTCCATTGATCTTGCCTGATATGTTTCTCAAGTCCCTCCTGCTTTCTCCCCATAACCTATAATCCTCTTACTAATCAAGAACATACATATCTCTGTCTTAAATACACTCAATGACTTGGCCTCTGCAGCAATGAGTTCCACAGATTCACCACCCTCTGGCTGAAGAAATTCCTCCCCATCTCAGTTCTAAAAGGTTGTCCCTTTACTCCGAGGCTGTGCCCTTGGGTCCTAGTCTCTCCTGCTAGTAGAAACATCTTCTCCACATCCAATCTATCCAGGCCTCTCAGTATTCAAGTTTCAATGACATTCTCTATCATCCTTCTAAACTGCATCAAGTACAACCCAGAGACCTCAACTGCTCCTCATAAGACATGCCCTTCATCCACAGGATCATTCTTTTAATTTGCAGTTTGCTTAAATAGAAATCAACAGTTTTAAATTTCTGTAGGATTTGAACAGGCTAACTTTGAAAGGATGCATTGAAAGAGCAGCCTAATTAGGAATGGGCTGAGTCTGAATCCTTATTTACTGGGGGAGCTAGGTCTTTGTATCAGGAACATGTAGGAGTAGCTAACCCAGTGCCACTGAGCACTTGAGTGCAACTTAGAGTGCAGGAGTTAAACATCTCAATGAGTTCCATAGAGAAACGAAAGAGGTCCATGGTTGATTTCTGCCTCAGTAAGCAGCTGATTGGTGAGTATTTCTAATTTTTAAAGAGTAAGTAAGGGCTTCAGTTTATGTTCAGGTTTCCAATCTTTATAATCTTTTATAAAAATGGCTTTTCAGGTATAAGATTGGTACTTTTGCATTAAAAAGGGAAATAATATAATAAAGTGTAAAAAGCAGGGATACAAGAATTTTAATTAATATGATAGCAATGGAATGCTAGATGATGTGATATAGCTGCAGGGTGTGGGAACTGTTGAATATCATGGTGATCCACTTGAAGGGCTGAATGGCCTACCTATGTTACTATTGAGTGGTTTGAGAGGGATTTTGAGGCCCAGATGGCATACGTAAAAAATTATGATCCTTTGTCAAGTTTAATGACATTTGATGACCCACCATGAAACCTGTGGGATCTGTACTGTTCACATTTGTTGTTTTATGTGCTCTGTGGAGTGTTCAGTCACAGACTACCATGCTTACTACATATTAATTCTTGTTGTAAGAAACAAGATATTGATGAACTGTAGATTATATTACTGTACTAACATTGTATAGCAAGGTTCATTATTGTTTGTTCAAAACTGTGGAGTCATGTAGCTTTATTCTCTTAGCAGATTCCCTTATTTGCTTTGTTTACTTTTAAAGAAAATTTTTGGTCTCAAACAAACATAGTAGACTGGCCCAAAATTTTAACAATGCACAGAGCATGTACAGGATGCAGATGATTCAACAATGTGCGACAGGTGGATTGATGCCTTTTATTCTCTGCACTCTCTTCCCTGTATTAGAAAGGGTGAGTTTCAGATGTCATAGCAGTAGGGAATTTCCCATTGGTGTGGGCATTGTCTACAGGATGGATGGAAAAGTTTTCAACCTCAATTGGTTGAAATCTCAAGAAGAAAATGACACTGACATTGCTCGTGGAATTCAGTATGTGGATAATAATGTCAACTCTGCTTTTTTGGAAGAGAATCTTCAAGCATCACTTTAATGCCTTTATGGAAATGTACCAAAGAATTGGCCTCAGCCTCAATCTCAGGGAGACTCAACCCATTCAAACCAACCCATTTGGTTTACCAACCCATTCAAAGGAAAGTCCTGGCCTTCCCATAATTTCACAACACCATCTGTACTGCTTTGTATTTCACCAAGCTCTAATCTTACTCAACTGCACAAAAATACTGGATATCATAGCCAGTCAGGCAGCATCAATGGAGAGAGAGCTCCTACACAATGCATTTAGTGTTTGTGGGCTTTTCATTACGCTCTCAGCTGCATTAATGCTCACAGGCTTCTTCTGAGCCCCTCAAGCATCCTCCAATACAGAGCCAGTGACCTTTCCACATTCAGTTCCCAGGACTTCTGACTCCTGACTCTAATAATTAACTACCTGCTAATTCCTAGTTCAAGCAGCAAAGGTTAACTGCAGCACTCCAATGTGACGTCCACTTCTGTCTCTGTCTCCTTCTCCAACTACTTGTAACCCTTTGAACTCCTCTTCAGTAAACTCAAACTGGCCCGAGTGATCTACGGAAAACCTTGCAATAAATCCCTCGTCCATTGCTGGGTAGAGTTGATGCTGCTAGCTAGTAACACATGGAACTGTTCCAAAAATATTACTAATCATTAACTGCAAAATCATACAAAGAGAGGATTTCATCAACACCATATGCTATGATAGTTAGATTGTTTATTTCAGGCTATGTACACCTGTATGGGAATTGAAGACTCTAGGTAAGGTTTCTTCATCTCACAATGAAAATTTTACTTCTGACATAGTTTATAGGGTTCAGATCAAGTCTCATTCTCAGGCAGGGCCATGCAATATTGCTCTGGTTTCCAGTTTAAGTCTGTTTTGCAATACTTGAATACTCACAGGATATTTGGATCTTGATCCAATTAGACTCCATTTTGTCTAATCCTGGTGGCATCCTGTAGTTTACCTCACAATAAAATTTAGAATCTTTGTCCTTCTTCTCAGGCAGATAATAAAGTGTACTAGCAATGGTATAAAGTCCACTGGGCTCCTTTGTGGCCTGAGAAATCATATACATCTCTGAAAAAAAAACAAAACCAGAGAAAAAACTGTGAGCAGTTAAATTTGCTGGGAGGTGAATAGTACCCTAAACATTTTCACCTTCAATTATGCCACATTATTTATATGCCAAACACAAGACAGAGGCTGCCGAACTGACTTCAGATCAGTAACTAAAATTTCAACCTCTTCTACTACAATATGTAAAAGACACTGACACAATCTCATCAGTTACACAGGTGCATCAGTGGTTTATGATCATCAGCCATGACTCATAGTTGCCTCGGAGCCTGGAAACTGAACATTCTGAAGACTTGAACACAGGAAGCTAAGATGACACTCCAGAGCAGGTTTGAGGGAATACTACACTGTCATAGAACCCCTACAATGTGAAAAGAAGCCATTCGGCCCATGAAGTCTGCACCAACCCTCCGAACAGCATCCCATCTAGATGCTGAAATGGCAGAGAAATGAACAAATATTTTTCAGCTGTAAGAAACATCAAATTATGCATCAAAGTTGAGGATAATTAAGGGTCTTATAAGATTGAGGAATTTAAAGTAATGAAAGTCAGCATTGAAAATCTAACTGAATCCCTCGCACTGTTGGTCTACATCCTAGGGTTCTAAAAGGTAGCTGACGAGATGGTTGCTGCTTGTGAGTTGCCAGAATTCCATAATTCTATGGAGTGGCTGTGGTGGATTGAAGATAGCAAATATAACACTTCTATTCAAAAAGAGAGAAAGAAATCTAGGGACAATAGGCTAGTTAACCAGATACAGCAATTGAGAAATTATTGTAATCTATTATTAAGGAATTCTTTATAAAGTCATAGAATGAACATGATCTTAAGGGAAATCATGTTCTCCAAATTTTGGTGTTTTTGAAGATGTACTGGTATGCTAGCTAAAGGGAAGCTGGTAGATGTAACGTATTTAGATTTTCAAAAGATATTTGGTAACATAGCACACGTATTAATACACAAGGTAAGGGTTCAGGGATGACATAACATATTACTATGGATACAGGATTGATTTGCAGACAGTGGAATGAACAAGGCATTTTCAGGATGGCTGGCTGTAATTAATAAGTGCTACAAGAATCAGTGTTAGGGTCTCTACTATTTGCAATTTACATTAATGATTTAGACAAAGAGATAGACTAATCTTTCAACATTTACTGATAATACAATGCTAGGTGGGAATGTAAACTGTGAAGAAGACATAAGGCTGCAAAGAGATATCGACTGATTAAGCGAGCTGGCAACAAAGTGATCGGTGTATAATGTGTGGAAGTGACAAATTATGCAGTTTGGTAGTAAGAGTAGAAAAGTATAATTTTTTGAGGTGAGAAGCTTTAGTAAGTTGATTTTTATGAAGATTTGACATGTGGTCATCCAAAGAATACAGGAATTTAGCATGCAGATATAGTAAACAATTGAGGGGGAGCATGCTGGTCTTTAGTGAAAGGAGGAACTATAAAGAGGTCTTTCTACAGTCTTGTAGAGCTTTGGTGAGACTACACCTGTTAGTGTAGTTTTGATCTCTGTACGTAAGTAAGGACAGTTTGTGAACTCTGTCCCCCATTTTGATTACACGTTTTCTTGCCCCCAAGTGCCAATGTTAATCTTGTTTTTCATATATTTGCTTTCAGATAGAGTTGTTCATTATTCTGCTATTTGGGCACACTTTGGAAAAGTCCTTTGTTCCTTTACTGTAACCATTACCACTTCTTTTGTTTTTGTTCCATGACATTTTTGTCTGTCTCTTTTATCTGCTACCCGATACCAAAACTTCCCTTTTGTAATTCCCTCATGCCCTTTCAGTAGCAGAAATTCCATCACATTTATACCTTCATTCTGACAAGAAGTCATATTCATTGAGTTATACAGCACGGAAACAGACCCTTCAATCCAACTCATCCATGCTGACCAGATATTCCAATCTGACCTAGTCTCATTTGCCAGCATTTGGCCCACATCCCTCTAAACCCTTCCTATTCATTTACCCATCCAGATGCCTTTCAAATGTTGAAATTGTACCAACCTCCACCACTTCCTCTGGCAGCTCATTCCATACACGCACCATCTTCTGCATGAAAAAGTTACCTGTCAGGTCCCTTTTAAATCTTTTCCCTCTCACCTTAAACCTACACCATCTAGTTTTGGACACCCCCACCCTAGGAATAAGACCTCGGTTATTCACCCTATCCATGCTCCTCATGATTTTATAAACCTCTATCACGTCACACCTCAACCTCCAATGTTCCAGGGAAAATAGCCTCAGCCAATTCAGCCTCTCCCTATAGCTCATACCTCCAATCCTAGCAACATTCTTGTAAATCTTTTCAGTACCCTGTCTAGTTTAGTAACATCCTTCCTATAGAAGGGCAACTAGAATTGCACGCAGTATTCCAAAAGTGGCCTCATAAGTGTCTTGTACAGCTGCAACATGACCTCCTAACTCCTACACTCAATGCACTGGCCAATAAAGGCAAGCTGCTAAATACCTTCTTCACCACCCCATCTGTGACTCCACTTTCAAAGAACTATGCAACTGAACCCCTAGATTGGCAACACTCCCAGGGCCTTACCATTAACTGTACAAGTATTGCCCTAGTTTGCCTTACCAAAATGCAATGCCTCTCACATTTATCTAAATTAAACTCCATCTGCCACTCCTCAGCCCATGTGATCAAGTTTTAGTTGTACTCTGGGTAATCTTCATTGTCCACTACACCACCTTTATTTGGTGTCACCTGCAAACTTACTAACCATGCCTCCTGTATTCACATCCAAATCATTTATATAAATGACAAAAAACAGTGGACCCAGCACCGATCCTTGTGCACACTGCTGGTCACAGGCCTCCAGTCTGAAAAACAACCCTCCACCACCATCCTGTCTCCTAGCATTAAGCCAATTTTGTAACCAATTGGCTAGCTCCCTCTGGATCCCATGTGATCTAACCTTATTAGCCAGTCTACCGTGCGTAACTTGTCGAATGCTTTGATGAAGTCCATATGGACAATATCTACCACTCCGTCTTCATCAATCTCTTTTGTCACCTCTTCAAAAAACTCTATCAAGTTAGTTGGACATGATTTCCCACACACAAAGCCATGCTGACTATTCGTAATAAATCCTTGCCTTTCCAAATGCATATAAATCCTGTCCCTCAAAATCTTCTCATTACCCACCATTGACATAAGGCTCACCGGTCTAGCTCCCTGGCTTTTCCTTACCACCTTTCTTAAATAATGGCACCACATTAGCCACGCTTCAGTCTTCTAGCACCTCAACTCTGGCCATCGATGATAAATATCTCCGCAAAGGGCACAGGAATCTCTTCCCTAGCTTCACACAAAATTCTGGGAAACACCTTATCAGGTCCCAGGGATTTATCTACCTTGATGCATTTCAAGACCTCCAAGATCTTCTCTTCTGTAATATGAACTCTTTAAGACATCACTATTTATTTCCCCAAGTTCCCTACCTTCCATGTCCTTCTCTACATTAAATATTGACACAATACATTCGTTTAGAATCTCACCCCCATCTTCTGCAGTTTTGTTGATCTTTAAGGGGCCCTATTTTCTCCCTAGTTACTCTTCTGTCCTTAATATACCTACAGAATCTCTTTGGATTCTTCACTATTTGTCAAAGCTATCTCATGTCCCCTTTTTGCTCTCCTGATATCCCTCTTAAGGATACTCCCACTGCAAGAATTCGCTCAATCCCAGCTGTCTATACCTGACACATGCCCAATCCTTTTTCTTGACCACAGCCTCAATTTCTTCAGTCATCCAGCATTCCCTACACCTACCTTCACACTAACAGGAACATACTGTCTCTGAACTCTTGTTCTCTCATTTTTAAAAGGCCCCCCACTTCCTAACCTTCCTTTACCTCCGAGTAGCCTCACCCAATCAACTAATGAAAATTCCTGTCTAATATGGCCTTATTCTAATTTAGGACTTTAACTTTTTGATCATTTCTATCCTTTTCCATCACAATTTAGAACCAATAGAATTATGGCCATTTGCTTCAAAGTGCTGCCCAATCTATAGCTCAGTCACTTGCCTTGCCTTACTTTCCAACAGAAGGTCAAGTATTGCTCCTTCCCTAGTTGGTACATCCACATATTAAATAAGCAAGCTTTTCTTGTACACACTTAACACATTCCTCCCCATCCAAGCCCTTAACACTTTGACAGTCCCAGTCTATGTTTGGAAAAGGAAGATCCCTTACCATTATAACCTTATTATTCTTACTGATATCTGCAATCTTCTTAGGTTTGCTTTTCAATTTCCCGCTGAGTATTGGGGGCCTACAATACAATCCCAACAAAGCGATCATCCCTTTCTTATTAAAAAAAAAAGGAAAATGCAGATGCTGGAAATCAGAAACAAAAACAGAACTTGCTGGAAAGGCTCAGCAGGTCTGGCAGCATCTGTGGAGAGAAATCAGAGTTAATGTATCAAATTTTGTTACCCTTCTTGAGATTTCAGGAGGGTTCTGAGGAAGGGTCACTGAACCCGAAACATTAACTCTGATCCCTTTCTCATTTCTCAGGTCCACCCATAAAACTTCACTCTATGATCTCTCAGGAATATTCTCCTTAATTATAGTCGTAATGTTACCTCTAAGCAAAAACACCATTCCCCTCCTCTCTTGCCTCCCTTTCTATCCTTCCTCTAGAATCTATATCTTGGAACATTAAGTTGCCAATACTGTCCATCCCTGAGCCAACTTGATGTTAACTCTGATATTTAGAAACATAAAAATGTAGGAGCAGGTGAGAGACATTTAGCCACCAAGTCTGCTCCACTATTAAAGTTGATCATGACTGTTACTCTACCCCAATATCAGTATCCCACACTATTCCCCTATCCCTAGATTAGTTTCCAGAAATCTAATGACTTTTATTTTAAACTTGTTTAAAGTTTGAGTTTCCAGAATCCTCTGGAGAAGAGAATTCTGAATGTTGGCCACATTGAGTAAATAAATTTCTCCTCACCTCACTCTTAAACGGCCTACCCTTGTTCTGAAATTATGGGCTTAGTTCTAGGTTCGAGAGAAATATCCTATCATATCCTGTATGAATTTTATAAGTTTAAATTAGGTTACTCTTCATTCTTTGAAACTCAAACAAAAATACCCAGTTGTCTCAATCTCTCAAATAAAGTAAAGAATTATTGATGGTGAAGATCTGAAAGAAGAACAGAAAGTGCTGGGCTTGCTCAGCAAGTCTGGCAGCATACGTGCAGAGAAAGCATAGTTCACATCTTGAGTCTAGTGAACCTTCTTCAGAACAGAGGAAAAGTCACTGGATTCGAAATGTTAACTGTTTTCTCTCCACAGATGCTGCCAGACCTGCTGAATTTCTCCAGCAATTTGTTTTTGCCTCAATCTGTCTCGTCTCCTTCCATCCTAGGAATTAGTCTGACAAACTTCTGCTGCACTCTTTCAATGGCAAATACATCCTTCCTTAGTCAATTTTCCTTGAAAAGGGTCAACACAAGTTTCAAAGCAAGTTAGAAGCTCCCAGAAACAGCGGTGGCATAACATAACTGGATTTCTGCCATTATTCTGAGGTTGTAGAGACTGATTAGGAAAGGAGTGGTGGCCAATAATAAACTTGCAAATTAATTACAGGTTATGAGGAGACGATGTGCTCTTTTCAATGATCTCAGGCAGAAGTAGCGGTATTTAAATGGACAGGTTGAGAAAAGGTAACATGAAAGTATGACATACTGTTGTTTATCTTGGTGGTAGCTTGCAATGGGGTGCGGTCCTTGTACCATGTTATGTTGGGAGCAGGATAACCATTCCTAGTGTGACATGTGGCAATCTGAGAAAGAGATAACACCAAAGCACGTCAACAATGACAATATCAATAACAGCAAATCACCAATGTTCTTAAAAACACTTCATTAGCAATAAAGGTGTTCAGAACATTGCAAATTTGTGAAAGAAACAGTATAATGGTAAATTTTTTCTGTTTGTCACATGCTCTGAGGCTATTAGAAGAGAAGAGAACTACCTCGGTTTTCATGCAGATACATTTGCAAGTACTGCAGATATTCCCTGCTGATGTGGATCAAAGTGAATGCCTCTAAAGTAATTCTGTCAAAAGTTCTACCTCAACATTGTTGTAAATTGTATACAAAATCAGTATATTTATTTTAATAAGGACATTTTCCCTTTGTCATAGGGAGGCACGGTACTACTTTCCATGGTGGTAATATTTACAGGACAGTAGCAGGTCTGTGTACGTGCTGGAGTTATGACAGGAAACTGGAAACAGATTTCCCAGATGTCCTGCACGTTTTCGAAATTCAGGCTCTAGCCCAGTGGTGATGGTAGCTAATTGATAGGCTGGCTGCTTGTTAGGCAGGAAAGCCACTAACTGAAGACTGTAACTCGGGAGATAGGGAGGATGAAGATGGTGAAGTCACATTTGGGTGGGACAGGTATAGCCAGTGGAGGATGTCACAGGGAGGGGAAGTAAAGGAGAAAGCGGGAGATCAGTGGCTAAGCAGCCATGGAGCTAAAACAAATAAGCATCTTGGGTCAATTGGGGATAAAACATTCTTGCTCCTCCAAAGCTGTGCTGTAAATACGTTTATTTATGGATTCTTTACTTCCCTATTTTTACGTCCCAATCCAGAATATAAAAAAAACAAACGGACATACATAAAGTTCTGAAAAGCTTCTCTGTCCTACCCACTTCATAAGAGCAAATCGGTTGCCCATATCTCAACCCACTGCCATTAAAACCAGAATTTTAAAAAAAGTTAACTTCTCAAGCAGCCCAAATCCATCCATTCTAAAGGTAGAATTTAGCCTCAATACTTTTTCCAACCAGTACAGGCATCAAACAGGTGCAGATCTAGAGGAATGTCACAACTACGCAGCGAGCAGGAATGACTTTCATATTTGGGTTTCAGTAACATGGCACCTTCTGACTTTCTGACCAAACCAGCAGCAAACCCAGTGGATGGTCAGTCAGGGATCCACAGCTTTCTGTCAAGCCCTTCAGAGATGTATTTGCCAACAGAAACAGAAAGAAGCAATACTATTAAGCAGTGGTTCATATACATTCAGAATCAACATCAGCAAATACTAAATAAAAATCCAAATAACTGCTGATGCTGCAAGTCAAACAAAAATAAAAATTGCTGTTAAACTAAAAATAAAAGGTGGAAAAAAATGTACTAACTGCTAGAGAAATCTCTCCAAATGTTTCATTGAGCTTCACCTTGCTGCAGTTGGTAGGGACATAGGAGCAGGCCATTTCAGCCCACTGAGTCCTCTCAGCCATTCAATTAAATCATGGCTGATCATCTTAAATGTCATTTTCCTGCACTGTCTCCATATCCATTGATGTCATTAGTTTCTAGAGGTTTATAGATTTTGATCTTGAATCTGCTCAGTAATTGAGTTTCAACATCCCTGTGGGATACAGAATTCCAAAGATTAACTGCCCTCTGAGTTAAGACACTATTCGTCTCAGTCTTTCATGACCTACCTCTTATCCTGAGATTACATTCTCTGGTTCTACACTTATCAGCCACCGGAAACATCCTACCTACATCCATCCTGTCAGCAAGCCCTGTAATAATGTTGGAAGTTTCAATGAGGTCACCCCTCATTCTTTGGAACTCTGGTGAAATCAGACTCAATCTCCTTAATCTTTCATCATAAAAGAACTCAACCATCCAGGGATGAATCTGATGAATCTCTGTTCGCTATCTCTGCCAAATTAAACCTTCATTCTATAAAGAAATCAAAACTGGACATAATACTTCAGGTGAGGTTTCATCAAGCTCTATACAATTGCAGCAAGATATCTTTTCTCCTGTATTTAAATCCCTTGCAATCCCTTTCCAACATGCTATTTGCCTTAGCTATTGATGGGACTGATTCTTTAGTGACCTGCGAACACAGATGAGGCCCCGTTAGACATTTCCCAGCCTCTCACCATTTAAGAAATATTCTGCCTTTCTGCTTTCTCTACCAAAGTGAAAAACTCACTATATTCCAACTGTCATTTTCTACCTGATTCACTTAACTGATTCTAGTCCTCTGGAACCCACTCAGCTTGACATCAGCAGCAAATTTGGAAACATTACAATTGGTCTCCACGTCCAGATCATTTATATACATTGTGAACAGCTGTGAACCTAGCACTGATTCCTGCATTACCTACTAGTAACAGGCATTTTTTAATTCATTGTTCGGATGTCAGCATTGCTGGCAAGGCAGCTTTGTTGGCCATACCTAATTGTCCTTCAACTGAGTGACTTGCTTTACTATTTCAAAGTGCAGTTAGAAACCAACCAATTATTCCTTTATTCTCTTCTTTATTCATTTACAGGATGAGGGCGTCGCTGTCTAGGCAGCATTTATTGCCCATCCCTAATTGCCCAGAGAGCGGTTAAGAGTCAACTGCATTGTTGTGGGGCTGGAGTCACATGTAGGCCAGACCAGACCAGGTAAGGATGGCAGTTTCCTTCCCTAAAGAACATTAGTGAACCAGGTGAGTTTCTCCCTGACAGTTGGCAATGGATTCATGGTCATCATTAGACTCTTAATTCGAGATATTTTATTGAATTCAAATTCCACCATCTGCTGTGGCAGGATTTGAACCTAAGTCCCCAGAACATTATTGGGGTCTCTGGATTAACAGTCTAGCAATAATACCACTAAGCCATCACCTCCCCAGGCCATATGTGGTTACAGCCAGATGGTTAGTGGACTGCTATTCAGTCCATTAACTGAATAAAACCTATCTGTTTCACTAACGTTCTTTACAGAAGGAAATCTGGTCCTTACTTGGTGCTTTATTTTTTTTTCCACTTTCTAGTTCCTCAGCCTCTGGCACACCAAGTCTGTTCATCTCTGCATCTTGCTTGAGAAAGACATGTACAAGTGGACACTCTGGTTTCTTCAGCTGCACTCATACCCAAATTCATATTTCGATTATATGTGGGAAAATAGAGAGATTCAGGCACCTTCCTTTATTTATCAGCACATGCAAACAGCCAACATTCAGAGACAATGTGTATGCCCTTTTCTTCTACAGACTTGTATTCTCGATTGCTGTCATTCTGCCGCCCCATAGATGAAATCGATTACTGTTTCGTCGTAACTCCATCTGTGATCTGCTCCCAGGAAGGCTGCAATCACATTCCAATCCCCCTTCCTCTTACCAAGCTTCTTACTCTCACAAATTACTGCATCTGCCAGGACTTTAGGCTCTTCCAGTGCTGGTTTAGACACATGAAGTTATGAGCTGGCTGCTGATGGCACTATCATGTTCTGTGTACTGTTTGCCATGGCTACTCTTAGATTCCCGCCAATGACTTCAGATAGTGGAGTACTCATCTTTCTATTACATTGACCTGGATTCTTTGGAGAATCCAGAATTTCCAATGCATCCTGAACATCAAATGATGGCTTGAAGAGACCATCCTTGCATAGGAATTTTGAAGGTGTGTCAAGTAGCAAGTTGGCTTCTATTTGTTGGCCGGGTACACCTACGTCTGCTCTCTTTTCTCTTGTCTCAGTTCTATTTTGTTGAGATAAGACCAATTGGAAGGCTCTACTCTGGAACCTCTATTTCCAGTGGAGTCACAGCAGAGTTCTGCAGGTTTTGGATAAGGGATGCTTAGGTGTCTGTTTTGGCACTTTGTCCATATCTGAGACCTTGATCAGTTGATTCATTTTGGCAACAGCACTGACAGCATTGTCCGCAAAGAATTTTCTTTCATCAGCATTTTTCCCCCTGATTGAGCAGATGCAAATAACCAAGCAGCAGTCACAGCTGGTAAATTCCATTTCTTTGCAGCTTCATATTTGGAGCCTTGTAGCTCTTGTAGGACCAAATGCATGCTGGCAAGCATGCCTTTCTTCAAATTTGCTTTCTGAACAAAAACCTCGTGCTCCAAGTAGTTCTGCAATGTTAAGTACTGCATCTCTTTCAACCCCAGTAAACTGACTAACAGACAGCACAGTCAGTCAATCAATGGTGTACTTCCTTCCACAATGGATAAAGGAGTAAATAAGGCATTTGACTGTGAAACCAGTATACACTGCTGATCAATGCACATTGCTAACCACGTATTTGTAACCACTTCTGGTACAGTTGCATCTACTTGGGTGCCCAATAAAGGCACAACAGCATTGTCTGCAACAGTCTGTCTGTGGGGCCGCAGCACTTTTCCACCATTGCTCTGAATCAATTCAGCCATATAAGTTTCATCTTCATTAGCAAAGCCAAATATTAGAAACTTCTTGCTCCAAAATAACTCCCTATTCAGCGCATGATTCTGTTTCACATGTGGAGGTATTTGCTGACTGATTCATTTGGTACGCAGTTTAGTGGAGTGTCACTGAAGTTACTTCGTGTTTTATCTTTATTTTCAGGTTCAACTAGAGTTCTGTCATTCTCAAGGTATTGCAATAGGAGATCATCATCTGCTTCCTGTTGTCTGCCAGGACTGACTGGATGTTCTTAGTGCCTTACTGTCATTTAAAGTAAATGAGCTTGGTTGCTGGAAGTTGCAGTATTGGAATATAGATTGATAACTTGGAATGGAAACACTGCTCCACAGTTGCATGATTGCCATCAGACTAGCCTTACATTCCAGATCTGAACACATCTGCAGACAGTTGGTCTGGGCCAGCAAATTACCAATAGGCCACCATCTCTGAGAACTACCATTCTGAGAATGATCAGGATATTCTTGCATTCTGCATTGTCTAATAACAATTCTCAATCTATATCAGTACTTTTCCCCAAATCCCATATGCTCTTGTTATAGTTATTAACCTCCTGTGTAAGACCTTATGAAAAGTGTCCCGAAAATCCAAATACACCACATCCACTAGTGTGCCCTTTATCAATGATACCAGTAACATCCTCAAAAAAAAACTCCAACAAGTTTGTCAAACATGATTTTCCCTCATAAATCCACATTGATTCTGCCCAATTTTTCCATTCTCTTCTAAAGTGTCCAGTTATTCCATCCTTCATAAGAGATCGCAACATGTTTTCTATTGTAATGTATGTGCATTATATATATTAAAATTTACGTTGGAGTTTGATTTTGAAATAGTGGCATGGGCATGGAAATTGTAGCATCTACAAGATGCACAGTAGAAATTCAGCAAGGTTCCATAGACAGCACCTTCCAAACCCATGACTATTTCCACCTCAAAGGGCAAGGGCAACAGATACGTGTGAACATCATCACCTGCAAGTTCCCCTCCAGGCCGTCAAGTATCCTGACTTAGAAATATACTGCTATTCCTTTGGTGTGGTTGGGTCAAAATCCTGGAAATCTGTCCCCAACAGCACTGTGGAACCACCTACAGCACAGGGACTGCAGCAGTTCATGAAGGTTGCTCACTACCACCTTCTCATGGGCAAGTAGGGGCAGCCAATAAATTTTGCCCACGTTCCCATGAATGAATTTAAAAAAGTGGGTCTTGGTCTGTGTGTAAGAAGAGGTTGCATGATTAACTTGTCAGGCTTTCTGGAGCCATGTTCTATTTTAAAATCACTATGAGACAGATTTTTTGGAATGGTAAAGGTAATTTGTTTTACGACCACAGTAAACATTAAAGGGCATTAGCTTGTTAGAAAGATCAGGAATTGATTTTATTCAGCTTAGGGGCAAAATTTAATGTATGAAACAGTTTCTCCTTCAGAAATGAGTTAGTTTGGAAAAGTTAGGATGTAGGTTACTTCAGTGAAAGGGTTATTGTTTTAACGATCTAGATCGGAGCTGTTTGGTTAGAACCTGAAAGGGTTATTTGAAGCGAAGAGATTCGAAGTTCAATTGTGTGAATACTTAAGGAAAACGCTTTCGAACTCCCAAACTTGGAAATTGAAAGCAACAATTAAATCAAACCCATATATGTGGTAGAGAAGGGAATTCTCTCTAGTGCTCGAGTGCAGTAAAAGTACGCTGCTGAGATGAACAGACTATTGTATTTTTAAACAGTGGTTTTGAAATCTTTAAAACTGTTTTATGTAAAATAGCTTGGTTTATTTTATCTTTTCTTTTAAGTATTATACTTTTGTTTTTACCACTAAATCTAGATTCACAACATTGTGTGCTTGTTTTTCAAACAAAGACTACCTTGTTAAATAAGAAAAGCCAAAACATGATCTAAAAAAAAGCTAGATTTCATTTTGGGATCTGACTTTGCCAGGTAATAACAGCGGGATCATAACACTATTACTGACGTCAGACTAACAGGGTTTTTAAACTCGCTCGTGGAATGCTGGCTGGCCAGGATTTATTGCCTACCTATGATTGTCCTCGAGAAGGTGGGGGTGAAATGCCTTCTTGAACCGCTGCATCCACATGCTGTAGATTGACCCACACTGTTGTTAAAGAGGGAATCCCAGGATTTTGACCCAGTGACAGAGGAGGAATGGCAATATATTTCCAGGTCAGGATGGTGAGTGGCTTGGACAGGAACTTGGAGGGGGTGGTGTTCCCATGTATCTGCTGCTGTTGTCTTTCCAGATGGAAGTGGTCGTGGGTTTCAAAGGTACTGTTGCAGGATCTTTGGTGAAATTCTGCATCTTGTAGATAGTACACACTGCTGCTACTAAGCGTCGATAGAGGGAGTGAATGTTTGTGGATGTGATGCCAATCAAACGGGTTGCTTTGTCCTGAATGGTATCAAACTTCTTGAGTGTTATTGGAGCTGCAGCCATCCAGGCAAGTGAGGAGTATTCCATCACACTCCTGCCTTGTGCCTTGTAGATGGTGGACAGCCTTTGGGGAGTCAGGAGGTGAGTTACTCGCCGCAGTATTCCCAGCTTCTGACCTGCTCTTGTAGCCACTGTTCGTGATGAGTACAGTTGAATTTCAGGTCAATGGTAACCCCAGGATGTTGATAGTAGGGGATTCAGTGATGGTGATTCAATCATCTCTTATTGGAGATAGTCATAGCCTGGCATTTGTGTGGCATGAATGTTCCCAGCCACTTGTCAACCCAAGCCTGGATATTGTCCAGATGTTTTTTGCATTTGCACATGGACTGCTTTAGTATCTGAGGAGCCACGAATGGTGCTGAACTCTGTGCATTCATCAGCAAACATCCCCACCTCTGACCTTGAGGGAGAGAAGGTCATTGATGAAGCAGCTGAAGATGGTTGGGCCGAGGACACTAGCTTGAGGAACTCCTGCAGAGATGTCCTGGAGCTGAGGTGACTGACCTCCAACAACCACAACCATCTTCCTATGTGTCAGGTATGACTCCAACCACTGGAGCATTTGCCCCCTGATACCCGTTGATTCTGGTTTTGCTGGGGCTCCTTGATGCCACACTCAGTTGAATACAGCCTGATGTCAAGGGCTGTCACTCTCACCCCACCTCTGGAATTCTGCTCTTTTGTCCACATTTGAACCAAGGCAGTAATGAGGCCAGGAGCTGAGTGACCCTGGCGGAACCCAAACTGGGCGTCACTGAGCAGGTTATTGCTGAGCAGGTGCTGTTTGATAGCACTGTTACTGACACCTTCCATCACTTTACTGATGATCGAGAGTAGACTGATGGGGCGATAATTGGCCGGTTTGGACTTGTCCTGCTTTTTACGTTCAGGACATACTTGGGCAATTTTCCACATTGTTGGGTAGATACCAGTGTTGTAACTGTACTGAAACAGCTTGGCGAGGGGAGCGGCAAGTTCTGGAGCACAAGTCTTCAGTACTATTGCTGGAATGTTGCCAGGGCCCGTAGCCTTTGCAGTATCCAGTGTCTCCAAGCATTTCTTGATATCACATGGAGTGATTCAAATTGATTGAAGACAGGTGTCTGTGATGCTGGGGACCACTGGAGGAGGCCAAGATGGATCAACCACTCGGCACTTCTGGCTGAAGATTGCTGCAAAAGCTTCAGCCTTATCTTTTGCACTGATGTGCTGGGCTCTTCCATCATTGAGGATGGGAATATTTGTGGAGCCTCCTCCTCCAGTGAGTTGTTTAATTGTCCACCACCATTCACGACTGGATGTGGCAGGACTGCAGAGCTTAGATCTGATCTGTTGGTTGTGGGATTGATTAGCTCTGTCTATCACTTGCTGCTTTTGCTGTTTGGCGTGCAAGTGGTCCTGTTTGGTGGCTTCACCAGGTTGATACCTCATCTTCAGGTATGCCTGGTGCTGGTCCTGGCATGCTCTCCTGCATTCTCCGTTGAAGCAGAGTTAATCCCCTGGCTGCATGGTAATGAGGGACATGCCAGGCCATGAAGTTGCAGATGGTGCTGGAAAACGATTTTGCTGCTGTTGATGGCCCACAGTGCCTCATGGATGCTCAGCCTTGAGTTGTTAGATCTGGGCGAAGTCTGTCCCATTCAGCAGACTAAATGTAGCTTTCCATTTTCCCTCTTCCTCCCTTCTTCATTAGTAGTACTTTTCAGTCAACAGGAACCTTTCTAAAAATCAATAGACTTTTGAAAGATAAATCAATTTCACTACCTCTCTGGCCACCACCTCAACAACTGGGGTAAAGCTCATCCATTCTGGGCAATTTATCAACTTTCCACACAGTTAACTCTTCAAACACCATCTTTCCTGATACCAATTTCTTCGGTTAAATTAGTTTCATAAATCTCTTGGTTGCCCAGTATTTCTGGGAGATCTTCAGCATCTTCCTCCGTAAAGATAGATGCTAAACAATTGTTTTGTCTCTTTGCCATTTACCTGTTCTCCATAAAAAAATGGGAGGCACTTTACCTTTATTTATAATAAATTGCTTAAAACAGATACACTGTCTTTGTAGTCTTGGAAGATAAGTCCACCTTTTAGCTTGTTAAATCTTAACCTACCGGTCAGTGAACTCAAGGATGAGTTGTGATATTACACCATACAAAAAGATTTAGGTTCTTTTGAGAGAGAATCAGAATATATTGACATGTGGTACTGAAGGGGAAATTGAACTTTCTTCTTAAACTCTAAAGATATCTGTGAATCTCTTCAATTTCTTTACATATTAAAATAATCCTAAAGTATAAAAGTGAGACAACTAACTGTCAGTATTTCAGCTTTGCCTACCTTTGATGGTTCTGTTTTCATTACTGATATGAGGTTATTACTTGGCCGTATCTCAGGTCTTTCTGGCGCACCTGCGAGAAAAGCAGAAATTGGTAAATACAGAAACAGGGACATTTTAAAAGATGTTAACAAAAAGCTAGGGCTTTGCTCTTATCTATCCTTGCCCAATCATAATCAGGTGTTGGCCAAAATAGAACATATTGTAATCACAAAGAGAGCCAGGAGATAATGTAAGGGGAAAAATAATGGACACTGAGTTTTAAGGGTATAGAATATGTTGCCTGAGAGGATGGTAGGCCATCCTTTGGGGAAGGTAGTGCTATAGTGGTAATGTCACTAGATTAGTAATCCAGGTCCCCACGATTCTAGGGACACTGGTTCAGATTCCACCATGCCAGATAATGAAAGCTGAATTCAATAAAAATCTGGAGTAAAATGATGACCATGTAACTATATGCACTGACAGACATCTTTGTATCATCTTTGGCCACAGGTGAGGTCCCACAGAACTGGAGAATAGCCAATGTTGTCCCATTGTTTAAGAAGGGTAACAGGGATAATCCAGGAAATTACAGGCCTGAGAGCCTCACATCGGTGGTAGAGAAATTATTGGAAAAGAATCTCAGGGACAAGATCTATATGCAATTAGAAACAAATGTACTTATTAACGATAGCATGGTTTTGTGCAGGGGAGGTCATGCCTCACTAACTTGATCGAGTTTTTGAGGAGGTGATGAAGATGATTGATGAGGGAAAAGCAGTTGATGTTGTTTACATGGACTTCAGTAAAGCCTCTGACAAGGTCCCTCATGGCAGGCAGGCACAGAAGGTGAAGTCACATGGTATCAGGGATGAGCTGGCAAGATGGATACAGAACTGGCTTAGTCATAGGAGACAGAGGCTAGTGATGGAAGGATGCTTTTCAGAATGGAAGGTTGTGACTAGTGGTGTTCCACAGGGATCAGTGCTGGGGCCTCTGCTATTCATGATCTACATAAATGATTGGACGAAAATGTAGCTGCTCCAATTAGTAAGTTTGCGGATGATACAAAGATTGGTGGAGCTGCAGATAGCGAGGAGGATTATTAGAGGATACAGTAGTATAAGGATTGAGTATAGGATGTTGCCTGGTATGGCGGATTTTAGCTATGAAGAAGGGTTGGCTAGACTGGGCTTGTTTTCACTGGAAAGCAGGAGGTTGAGCGGCGATCTAATAGAAGTTTATAAGATTTTGAATGGCATGGATAGAGGGGAAAGTATGAGGCCTTCCCTAGGGTGGAGGGGTCAATTACTAGAGGACACAGGTTCAAGGTGTGAGGGGGGAAAGTTTAAAAGAGATGTGCAAGTTTTTCACACAAAGGGTGGTGAGTGCCTGGAATACACTGCCAGATGTGGTGGTGGAAGCAGATGCAATAGCAGCTTTCAATAAACATCTGGACGAACAGATAAATAGGAAGGGAATAGTGGGGTACAGATCCTATAAGTGAAGACATTTTTAGTACAGAACGGAAAAATGTGTCCATGCAGGCTTGGAGGACCAAAGGGTCTGTTCCTGTGCTGTACTGTTCTTTGTACTGTTGATTATCATAAAAAATATCTAGTTCACTAATGCCCTTTAGAGAATGAAATCTACCATCTTTATCTGGTCTGACCTAATTGCGACTCCAGATCTACAACAATGTGGCTGACACTTAACTGCCCTCAGACAATTAGAGACGGAATAATAAGGATAAAAGAGGGAACTTGTGCTTGGTGGTAGCAGATGTGGGTGAGAACCTAACTGAGTACTTTGCGTCAACATTCACCCAGGAGAAGGATATGGAGGATAGTGAGATTTGTGTGGAGCATGCCAATATGCTGGGGCATTGAGATTAAGGAAGAAATGGTGACGGATCTCTTGAAGAACGTAAAGATGGATAAGTCCCCAAGATCCAATGGAATCTACCCCAGGTTGTTGAGAGAGGCAAGAGAGGAGATTTCTAGGGCCTTAACCAAGATCTTTGTATCCTCACTAGCCACTGAAGAGGTCCCAGGAGGACTGGCCAGTAGCTACTGTTGTTCTTCTGTTCCAGAAGGGAAATAGCGATAATCCAGGGAACTATAGACTGGGGAGTCTCACATCAGTGGTTACGAAGCTGTTGGAGAGATTTCTTAGGGATAGGGTTTACACACATTTGGAAAAGCATGGCCTAATTAGGGACAGTCAGCATGGCTTTGTGCAGGGCAGGTTATGTCTTACTAAGTTGATTGAAATCGATGAGGGTAGAGCAGTGGATGTTGTTTACATGGATTTTAGAAAGACTTTTGACAAGGTCCCTCATAGTCGGCTCACCTAGAAGATTAGGATGCTTGGGATACATGGTGACTTGGCTGCATGGATTCAGTATTGGCTTACCCATAGAAGACAGAGGGTAGTGGTGGAAGGGTGTTTTCCAGGCTGGAGGTCCGTGACTAGTGGTGTTCCACAGGGATTTGTACTGGGGCCTCTGCTATTTGTGATATATATAAATGACTTGGATGAAAACGTAAAAGGGTGGGTTGGTACATTTGCAGACGATACAAGGTCAGTGGATTTGTGGAGAGTGTAGAAGGTTGTCAAAGGATACAGTGGGATATAGATCAGTTGCAGAATTGGGCGGAGAAATGACAGATAGAGTTTAATCTGGGTAAGTGTGAGGTGCTGCACTTTGGGAGATCAAATGTTAAGGAAAAATATACAGTTAATGGCAGGACCCTGAACAGGATTGACGTACAGGGGGATCTTGGGATTCACGTCCATAGTTCCCTGAAAATGGCCACGGAAGTAGATAGAGTGGTAAGGAAGGTATATGGCACGCTTGCCTTTATTGGGCAGGGAATGGAGTACAAGAGTCAGGATGTCATGTTGCAGCTTTTTAAGACTTTGGTTAGGCCACATTTAGAGTATTGCATTCAGTTCTGGTCGCCACATTACAGGAAGGATCTGGAGGCTGTTGAGAGGGTGCAGAAGAGGTTTACCAGGATGCTGCCTGAATTAGAGTGTATGAACTATAAGGAGAGGCTAGAAAAACTCAGGTTGTTTTCTCTGGAGCAGTACAGGCTGAGGGGAGACTTGATAGAAGTCTATAAAATTATGACAGGCATAGATAGGGTTGACAGGTCAGAATTGTCTTCCCAGAGTTGTAATGTCTATTACTAGGGGACATGCATTTAAGGAGAGAGGGAGAAAGTTTAAAGGAGACGTGAGGGACAAGTTTCTTTTTACACAGAGAGTGGTAGGAGTCTGGAACACACGGCCAGGGGTGGTGGTGGAGGCAGATACAATAGGGGCATTTAAAGAAGTTTTAGATAAGCACATGAATATGCAAGAAATGGACCAACGGCAGACAGAAGGCGTGAGTTTAATTTGGTGTCATGTTTGGCACGACATTGTGAGGAAAGGTGCTGGCCCTGTGTTGTACAGTTCTATGTTCTAAATGGTCTATTGAGTGATTTCCTCATCCCACAAACAAATTAAAAACACATTCAATGGGAAATTGGATAAATATTTGAAAGATTAAAAAAATTACAGGTTACTTGGATACCATTCAAATGAGCTGGCTTGGGCAAGATGGGTCTCATTTATGTTGTATTATTCTAGGATTCTAAAAGATTGTTCCAGAAAAGAAGTCTCACCATAAACCTTCAGCTCTGTTGTGGCTTCACCATTGCCTGCTGGACCAGCACCAACTTGGCAACAAAATGTCCGCTCATCTCGAAGCTCAACATTGTCAATGGTCAGAGTGTAGCTCTTATCCACATTGATTCGACCAGTGTAATCAGTGTTATTGTTAATAATTCTGTTTTCTCCATCCTGGAAATAGATTCGTTGCCGAGTATTCTTCTCCATCTGAATACAGACAAGTTTAAATTTAAAGATTATTAATAAAACGTAAGTTCTATAACTAGAATTCCTGACCCTTGAGCTGCCTGACTTTATGCTGCACAGTAAACTCCAGCTGAAAGATGACCTACTTCAACTCAGCAGACAATGCTAGCTGGCAGTGGCATCAGAAGATGCTGAATAATGGAATCGTTTTCAATTTATCTCCCAAATCTAATGCACGTTTTCACTTTCAAAATGATATATAAATTGTTACAATATACATTTGCTTGGAGTCTGAAAAATGTACTTTCAAAACATTGAACAATTTCTCCTTTAAATCTGCTTACTTTTCCAAGTAAAAGATTTGGCTACGGGTATCTGCACGAGTTCCAGTTACGCCTGTTTCCTTGTGGGATATGTGCAGCATTCTTTATTGCAGTCCTACTCAGGCCCTGTACTACACTCATTCTCTGAATCGTCAATGACTACATCACGGCAACTTCCAGCTCTCATCAGAATTTGAAAAGCATCAACTTTGGTTCCAATTTCCATCCTTTTCTAATCTTCGCTTGGAAGATCTCTAGCTCTTCCCTTCATTGACTTCTCTGTTTTGATTTCAGAGGATAGACTGTCCACTGAAATCCATTACAAATGCACTGACTCTGACAGTTATCTTGACTACATTTCCTCATACCCTGCTTCCAGGAAAAACTCCATTCCATTCTGACAGTTTCTCTCTTTGTCTCATCTGTTCCTATGATGTCACCTTCCTCAGACTTCCTTTTTATTCAGCTGAAGAATTCCGCCCACTGTGATTGAGAGCCTTCAGCCCTCACTCTTTGCCCTCCCTCCTAGAACAATAGACCTCCCCTTGTCCTCACTTTCCATGTCACCACACTTCACGATAAAAGGATTATCCTCCACCATTTCCATCACGTCCAGCAGGATGCCAGCACTAAACACGTCATTCCATCTCCTGGCAAATTTCTGCAGGCACTATTCCTTCTCCAATACCTGGTACACTCCTCTGTTACTCCCAACAGCTCTTCGCCACCACCAACCCCATGGCACCTTCCCATCCAAGCACAAAAGATGTTAAACAGCCCTTTATTTCCTCCCTCCTTAATGCCAAGACCCCAAACCTTCAGGTGAAACAGCAACTTACTTGTACTTCTTTTGATCTAGTCTACTGTATGTGCTGGTCACAATAAGGTCTCCTCCTCTACATTGGCAAGACTAAATATAGACTAGGTGACCAATCTATGGAACACCTCTGCTGTCTACAAGAAATGACCTTAGCCTTCTGGTTATTTGCCATTTTAATAAATCATCTTGCACCCATGTTAACATTTCTGACCTAGACCTGCTGTAATATTCCAGCAAAGCCCAATGTGAGCTAGTGGAACAGCACTTCATTTTCCACATAGGTACTTTATAACTTTCAGGATTCAACATTGAGTTCAACAGACTCAGACCACGAACTCTGTCCTCCATCACAGAACCACAGAAATGGTACAGTACAGAACAGGCATTCAGACCATCTTGTGCATGCTGACCCAAAGACACCCAGATGCCCTTTTTAATCCCATCATCCTGCATATGGTCCATTATAGTAGCCTCTTTCTCTCTCCCACCCCTCATCACCAACAACCCCAATGTTTTGTTTGCACTCAGCAGAGGTGACCTATTTCCTGTCATTAATTACCATCCATATTAATTCTCCACCACCATTTGTACTTTTGCTTTTTGCTCTGGATATCCTTACCATCTGCTCCACTTCACCTGCTTTTTACAGCATTAAACTATTCATTTTCCAGCCCCGTTCAATTCTGAAAAGGAGTCCAATTGGACTTAAATGTTAACTTTGTTTCGGGATACTGCCAGACCTACTGGTTTCTTCAGCACTTTCAGTGTGTCCTTCAAATCATTAGTTATTTTTAGGGATAAGATTTGTCAACTAAGTGATAGATTTCAAACTGCAAGATTTCAAACTGCAATATTTCTCATGTTATTGCACTACAGGATGTTACAATAGTCGCACTATAACACGGCATCTTCCAGTCACACAGTGATGAGCTGTGTTATCAAGGGATCAGTTAGTCACACAATAATACAGCTGCATTATCAAGGAGTCTGTCAATCATATGGGTAGTTCTCCTATAACTCGATTGTGTGACCTCACACTATAGAAAAATGGCCTTATAGGGAAATTGCTATAGAAAAATCACTATACTATCCAGTAGAAAGTTTGCTTTATCCAAACATTATCCACTATTCATCAATCATAATACAGCCAATTTGCATTAATGAAACATGCATTATAGCAGAAATACCTGTACAGTGACAGGGCAGTAGTAATGAAGGAATGGTCAGTCAGCCAGTAACAGGGCTGTGATACGGTAACATAGGAGCAGGAGTAGGCCATTGAAACCTTTGAGTATGCTCTGCCATTAATTATGATCATGGCTGATCGTTGACCTTAATACCCTAATCTCACCCTTCCCTCATATCCCCTGATCCCTTTAGCCTCAAAAGCTGTATCTACCTCCTTCTTGAGAACACAATATTTTGCCTCAACCACTTTCTGTAATAGTGAATTCCACAGGTCAGCACTTTGAGTAAATAAATTTCTCATCTCAGTCCTAAAGGTTTACCTCTTATCCTTACACGTCCCCCTGTCCTGGGCTCCCCACCATTAGGAACATCTCTCCTGCATTTAACCTCTTTAGTCCTCTTAGAATTTTACAGGTTTCTAGGAGATAACCCCTCATTCTTCTAAACTCCAGTGAATACAGTCCTAACCAATTTTAATCTATCTTCATGTCAGTCCTACCATCTCAGGAATCAATTTGGTAAACCTTCACTACACTCCCTCTACAACAACCTTCCTCAGATAAGGAGACCAAAACTGCACACAATATTCCAGGTGCAACTTCCCCAGTGTCCTGTATAATTGCAGTAAGACATCCTTGTTCCTGTATTCAAATTCTCTCAGCACAAAGGCCAACATAGAGTTTGCCTTCCGTACTACATACTGCACACTGCACCTGCACAATTACTTTCAGCGGCTAGGTGCACAAGGGCACCCAGGCCTCATTGAACATTTCCCTCAATTTACAGCCAATTCTCTGCCTACTATTTTTTAATACTAAAGTGGATAGACTCACACTTATCCACATTATAGTGCAACTCAACTTGTCCAAATCACACTGCAACATCTCCACATCCTCCTCACAGCTCACTTTTCCACCCAGCTTTCTGTCATCTGCAAATTGAGATTTACATTTAATTCCCCCATCTCAATCATTTATGTATATTGTGAATAGCTGGGGTCCTAGTACTGACCCCTGCTGCAGTAATCACTGCCAGCCATTCTGAAAAAGAACCATTTATTCCTACTCTTTGTTTGCTGAGTGTTAGCCAATATTCTATCCAACTCAACCCACTACTCTCAATTGCACACACTTTAATCTTACACATTAATCTCTTACGTGGGACTTTGTCTCATAAACCTTCTCAAAGTCCAAGCACACATCCTGAAATAGTTGCAGAGGCCATCACTATGTCATCCTTTATTTACATGCACACAGTACATAGCCTCTGACCAGCTAGCTCTGAGCCAGTCCCTAGTATAAGGAGGCTCTCTGAGACCCCTGTTTATATCTGTCAACCAGGACTCCCTGATTGGCCCAGGTTAACAGCCCCAATCAGGGATGTCATACTCATCCACCTGGCCAACCGTGTTCCAATTACTACACATCCACTGACTTCTCTTCATCAACATACTCAAAGAATTCCAGCAGATTTGTCACGCATGATTTTCCTTCAGTAAATCCATGCTGAAGGTGTATGATTCCACCAATGTTTTCTAAGTGTTGTGTTATAAAATCCTCATAATGGAATCCAGCATCTTCCCCACTACCAATGTCAGACTCACTGGCCTATAGTTCCCTGTTTTCTTTCTATCTGCCTTTAGTGGGTTACGTTAACTACTGCCCAGTCTGTAGGAACTGTTCCAGAGTCTAAAGAATCTTGGAAGATCCATGCACTATTTCTTGGGACTCTTTCTTAAGTACTTTGGGATGTAGATTATCAGGTCCTGGGGATTTATCAGCCTTCACACCCTTCAGTTTCTGCAACACCATTTCTCTACTAACACTGATTTGCTTCAGTTTCTCCCTCTCACTAAACCCAGTGTTCCCTATTTCTGGTATGTTTTTCATGTCCCCCTTTGTGAAGACAGAAGAAAAGTCTGAATTTAGTTCATCAGCCATTTCTGTTCCCCATTATAAATTCCCCCGTTTCTGACCATAAGTGACTTATGTTAGTTTTCACCAATCTTTTTTCCCTTAACATGCCTGTAGAAACTTTCACAGTCAGTTCTTATATTCTCTGCAAGATTATCAAGGGATCTGTCAGTCATGCAGTAATAGGGTGCGTAATTGTGGGAGTATTCATTTAAGTAGTAATACAGTTCTACTTACAACAAACCATTGGACATATTTCATAGTGCTTGGAGTGGATATCTCGGGAACACATGGTATGCTGATGGGTTTTCCAATCTCTGCTTCCACCACAGGTGGTGTAGAAACTTGAACACTGCCAATTATGCCTGTGAGAAAAGAACAAAAGAGTTCATTAGCTTCAAATGTTTTCTCTGCAGCTCCCATTACATGGACTGCTTAAAAAATAAAGTTGAAAAGGTCCACAGACTACATTAGTGATTGTTACGGTGAGGCATGTATGGTACAGTATATGAGAAAGCATTCACTAAAGTGAATTATATCAGAGGTTGTTAAGAGTGAGAAGAAGTGTTAATATCTTTGAGAAGGTATGTGTGTTAATGTCGCCATAGCAACAGCAATTGTAAATATATTTTCTTGGAAATGTTTCCAATATTTCCTCAGTAGAGGAGAATTTAAAACGTGCATTAAACCTTTCAGATGCTGCTATGTTTGGCCTTTAATAATCTATTTTGCAATATATTGCTTTGTAATGGGACACAGTTCTAAGAGCCACGAGAAAATATGAGTATAAAGCACAAACACTGGTGAATAAAGTTTTTTGCAGGTAAGGTCAAGGTGGTTCTTCAATGTGACTGTAGTGATTGAAATGAGCTCAGCCAGGTGGATTGCATGGGATCTGAGTTGCCTGATTGAGGCTGTTAACCTGGTCCAATCCTGGCTGACAGATATAAACAGGAGTGTCAGGGATTCTGCTCACTCTAGGAGCCAGTACTGTGCTAGCTGGGTCAGTGTCATGTACAATGCATATGTAAATAAAGGGTAACTTTTGTGATGGGATACGTGGAGTTATTTCAGTGACCACAACTGTAACACCAGCTGCCAACTGTATGAAATTGTGTATAAACAATGACGCTGGTAGCAATTGGGAACAGAAAGTTGTGTGCAGCTCTCATGTATTATTCATTTTATCATTTGGATAGGTAACCACTTGACTGCAATTGTCAGCAATCACTCTTACCATTAACTTCTGGTTGAACCTCTTCAATCGATGGGCTATACAAACTAGAAAAGCTCCAAATCCAGTATTGTGTCAACTGGATAGAAGTGTGGACTGCCTCAGAAATGCTTGTTGTAGATGTTAGGTACAGACAGTTAAATATTATATTTGGTGCATTTAGCCAATGTATGTTTACATTTTAAATAAAAACCAAAAGAACTGCAGATGCTGTAAATCAGGAACAAAAACAAAGTTGCTGGAAAAGCTCAGCGGGTCTGGCAGCATCTGTGAAGGAGAAAACAGAGTTAACGTTTCGGGTCCGGTGACCCTTCCTCAGTGTTCTGAGGACCAAGCTTGTGCACCAAGCAGGTTAAGCAGCAAGTGATACGACAGGATAAAGCAACTCTGCAACCAATGGGTCAGATCTAAACTCTCCAATTCTGCAACTTCTAGTCGTGAATGACATCGCACAATTAAACAACTGGCTGGAGGTGGAATTACAAATACCCACAAATATCCACATCCTCAATGATGGGGTGCCCAGCACATCAGTGTAAAAGACTGGAGTATTTGCAAGCATTTTCATCCAGAAGTGCTGAGTGGATGATCCATCTCAGTCTCCTCCAAAGGTCTCCAGCATTAAATACGCCAGTCTCCACCTAATTCAATGCACTGTACCTGAGATCAAGAAATGGTTGGAGGCACTAGACACTGCAAAAGTGGTGGGCCCTGAAATTCTAGCTATAGAACTGAAGATGTGCTCTAGAACGTGCTATACTCCTAGCCAAACTGTTCCAATACAGGTCCATCACTGGGTCTACCTGACAATGTGAAAACTTGCCCAGGTACGTCCATACACAAGAAGCAGGCTAAATCCAATTTTGCCAATTACCACCCCATCAGTTAAGTCTTGATCACCAAAGGGATGGAAGGTGTCAACAATGCTATCAGGAAACACATGCTTAACAATAACCTGCTCACTAACCTCATTACATCCTTGGTTTAAACATGGTCAAAACAGCTGAATTCCAGAGGTGAGGTGAGAGTGACAGCCCTTCACATTGAAGAGCCCTAGCAAAATTGGAATCAATGAGAATCAGGGGGTGAACTTCCCTCTGGTTGGAGTCATACCTGGCACAAAAGGAAAATTATTCTGATTTTTGGAGTTCAGTCATCTCAATTCCAGGAGCTCTTGCAGGAGTTCCTCAGGGTAGTGTTCTAGGTTCTACCATCTTCATCTACTTCATCAATGACCTTCCCTCCATCATAAGGTCAGAAGTAGGGAGGCCTACTGGTGATTGCAGTGTCTGGCACCATTCGCAACTCCTCATATGCTAAACCAATCCATGTCCAAATGCAGCAAAACCTGAGCAATATCCAGGCCTGGGGTGAAACGTGACAAGTGACTTCTGCAACACACAAATACCAGGCAATGATCATCTTCAACAACAGAGAAACTTACCAGTGTCCGTTGACATTCAATTGTGTTACTATCATTGAATTGTCCACTATCAATATCCTGGAGGTTACCACTGACCAGAAACTGAATGGAACCAGACATATAAATATAGTGGCTGCAAGAGCAGATCAGAGGCTCAGAATTCTGCAGCAAGGAACTCACCTCCCGGACTCTCCAAAGCCTGTTCACCATCTTCAAGACACAACTCAGGAGTGTGATGAAATATTCCTTGCTTGTCTGCTGGATTGCTGCTCTGACAACATTCAAGAAGCTTGACACCATCCAGGACAAAGCAGCCCACTTGATGAGCACCACATCCACAAGTATCCACTTCCTCCACCACCTACACCCAGTAACAGCAGTGTGTACCATCTACACAATGTACTGCAGAAATTCACCAAGGCATCTCAGAAAGTATTTTCCAAACCCACGACCATTTAGAAGGACAAGGGCAGCAGACAAATAGGAACACCACCCCCTGCAATTTCCTCTCCACGCCACTTACCATCCTGACGTGGATATGTTTTGCCATATGTTTTGTTGGGTTAAAATCCTGGAACTTCACCCCTACAGAATTGCTGATCTATCTACAGCGTACGAAGTGCAATGGTTCAAGAAAGCAGCACACCTCCATCTTTTCAAGGACAACTAGGGTTTAGCAAAGTGCTGCTCCATTCAGCAACACTCATATCCTATGAAAGAATAAAAACAAACATTTTCCAGTCCCTCAAGTTAGCATCAAGAAGGCCAATGGCATGTTATCTTATATTATAAGAGGTGTTGATACTGTAAGTAAGGATGTTTTACATCAGTTATGCAAGCCATGGTTAGATCACATAGTTATAGAGATGTACAATATAGAAACAGACCCTTTAATCCAACTTGTGTAGTAACCAGATATCCTAAATTGATCTGGTCTCATTTGTCTGCATTTGGCCCATATCCCTCTAAACTCTTTCTATTCATGTACCCATCCAGATCCCTTTTAAATATTGTAATTGTACCTGCCTCCACCACTTCCTTTGGCAGTTCATTCCATACACACACCACCTTCTGCATGAAAAAGTTCCTCTCAGGTCCCTTTTAAATCTTTCCCCTCCCACCTTAAACCTATGCCCTCGAGGTTTGAACTCCCCTACCCGGGCAAAAGGCCTCATCTATTCAGCTTCTCCCTATAACTCAAACTCTTTAAATCCAGCAACATCCTTATAAATCCTTTCTGAACCTTTTCAAGTTTAACAACATCGTTCCTATAGTAGAGAGACCAAAACTGAATGCAGTATTCCAAAAGCAACCTAACCAATGTCCTGTACAGTCACAACATGACCTCCCAACTCCTATACTCAATGCACTGACCTAGAGAGGCAAGTGGACCAAACAGTGTCTTCTTCACTACCCAGTCTACACATGACTCCACTTTCAAAAAACTATGAACCTGAACCCCAAGGTCTCTTTGCTCGGCAAAACTCCCCCATACCCTACCAGTAAGTGTTTAAGTCCTGCCCTGATTTGCCTTTCCAAAATGCAACACCTTACATTTATCTAAATTAAACTCCATTTGCCACACCTCAGCCCATAGATCCATCTGATCAAGGTCCTGTTGAACTTTGAGATAGCCTACTTCACTGTCCACCACACCACCAATTTTGGTGTCATCTGCAAACTTACTAACAATTCCTCCTATATTCACATTCAAACAATTTATATAAATAACAAAAAGCAGTGGAATCAGCACCGATCCTTCTAGCACACTGCTGATCACAGGCCGCCAGTCTGAAAAATAACCTTCTATCACCACCTTCTGTCTCCTACCTTCAAGCCAATTTTGTATCCAAATGGCTAGCTCTCCGTAGATTCCATCTGATCTAACCTTGCCAACCGAGCGGAACCTCGTCGAACGCCTTGCTAAAGTTCACATAAACAACATCCACCTTCATCAATCTTCTTTGTTACTTCTTCAAAAAATTCAATCAAGTTAGTGAGGCACACATTCCATACACAAAGCCATGTTGACTATCCCTAATCAGTCTGTGTCTTTCCAAATTGATGTAAATCCTGTCCCTCAGAATCCCCTCCAACAACTTACCCACCACTGATGTCAGGCTCACTGGTCTATAGTTCCCTGGCTTTTCCTTCTCACCTTTCTTAAATCGTGGCACCACATTAGCCAACCTGCAGTTTTCCAGCACCTCACCTGTGGCTATCGATGATACTAATATGTCAGCAAGGGGCCCAGCAATCACTTCCCTAGCTTCCCACAGAGTTCTAGGATACACCTGATTAGGTCCCATTGATTTATCCACCTTTTTGCGTTTAAGGCATCCAGCACCACCTCTTCTATAATATGGACACTTTTGAAGATATCACTATTTATTTCTCCAAATTCTCTAGCTTGCATATCGTTCTCCACAGTAAATACTGATGTGAAATACTTGTTTAGTATCTCACCCATCTTCTGTGGTTCTACACATAGATAGCCTTGTTCTTGGAGGGGCACTATTCTCTCCCTAGTAACTGTTTTGCCCTTAATGCATTTGTAGAACCCCTTTGGATTCTCTTTAACCCTAATTGCCGAAGCTATCTCCTGTCCCCTTTTAGTCCTCCTGACTTCCCTTGAGTATAATCCTACTGCCGTTATACACCTCGAGGGACTCACTTGATCCCAGCTGTCTATAGCTGCTATGTGCCTC